GATTTATCAAGAAGTTCTTTTAGACTTTTTTTTGTGTAAACAAGTGTAAACCTTGGAACATAAAGTATTGCTTTTTAAGTCTGAAATGGGTTAACTCCTTTGATGTTTACATTTCTACTGGAACTGACCAGATTGACTAGAATTATGTAAGAAAAACAAATCTCTACGTAGGCTTTGGATTCAGTAACAGCAGGTTTCTGTTAATGTTTCAGTTTTTAAGGCAGGAAAAGTTGCAGACACGGACTTCAATTTACTTGGAAATTATTCTGATTTTTTAAAGTTATGTATATGAGTGTTTTGCTTGTGTGGATGTCTGTGTTCCACATGCATGCCTGGTGCAGAAGATGGCAGCATGAGCCCTGGAACTGAAGTGACAGACTGCTATGAGCCATGTGTGGGTGCTGGGAAGTGAATAGGGGTCCTCTGGAGGAGCAGCCAGTGCTCTTAACTATGGAGTCATCTTTCTAACCCCACTGTCTGAGATATTTTTATAAATAACCATTACTTAATTTTAAGGTTTCAAGGTATCAAAAAGATTTTTTTGAAACTAGTTTTTAAAGAGACACGGTTTAGGGAACATTAATTGTTCTCAATTCCCAGTCTGTCATTTAAAATTAGTGCTACATGCAGCCTTTGCCAGATGCTTCTTGCAACAGGAGACAGAAATTAACGCAGAAACACACAACTGGCCGAAGTGTCAAGTGCCCCACAGGGACATCTCCACCTCTGGGAAAAACTCAGGGGAACAGTACAGAAGAGGGTGAGGGAAGGTGCTACGAGCCAGAGGATGAGGGGGTGTGCAGCAAAAAAGATGGTCTCTGGATATGACATAGCTGTTGCACCCACGAATGCACTGATGCTGTGGTTATCTGCATAACATCGCTGTGACTAAACCTATCATTTCATCATGGATGGCACAGGGATCTCTTAGGCCCCACCTCTCCCTGGGGTGACACTGGCAGTTGATGGTTGCTGGAGGTAGGGGATGCCATTTTCTTTAGACGTGTAGCCATTGATATGTTGCTTATGGTCCAGAATAACCTATCAACACTCATATAAGAGATTCCAATTAAATTAAATGGGACACACAGAAAGGAGATGTAAAAGGGGGATAGGGGCTTGCTGGAAAGAAGGGTTTTAACAGGAAGAAGGGAGAGGATAAAAGGGATATACTGTTAAGCTTCAAACCCGGTACAAACTGGCTGACCTGCCTATTTAGCATCTCAAAGCAGACCTGGCTGCCAGGTTCTCCCAGCATCTCTTAATCCCTTCCTGTTACAGGGTATGGATCACAGCATACTCTGACTTCTACCCTGAACTCTCCAGTCCAAGGGCTGGGCTGCCCTTCCCTCAGAGGCTCTTCCCTATATAATCCAGACATGGTGGCTACCTACCCTCTTGTACCTTTGACCTCCTGGCTGATGCACCTCGTTCCCTTCTCCTCTCCCCGCCCAGCTCAGTTTGGTCATGTCCACTCTGGACTTTCCCAGATGTCCCTGCCTCTGACAATGCTCTCCCACATATCTAAAAGAAACTTTCTCTTCCACCATACCTAGGAACTGTCATGTCCTTTCCTTTCCTTTATATTTCTTTTTTCATTCATATTCATGTAAAAAAAAAAAAAAAGAACCTGTCAAGAACCCAATTAAAACACATTGTTGTCAATAGGGCATTTAACTTGTTTAAGCCATTCAGAGTCACCAGCTTTACTTTAAAAAATTATGTTTGATAATAGCTGATTCATAGTCATATGGTTATTCTGTATTCATCATTTGTATTTCTTCTGAGAATTTCCTACTCAATTCTTTGACCCTTGAGTTTTTGCTTTTTTTGAATTCTTTGTATACTCTAGATAGTCTCGGTCATATGTATAGATAAAAAGATTTTCCACCATTCTGTAGGCTTCTTCACTCAATTACTTTCTTTTTTCTATACAGAATCTTCTTAATCTCATGAGGTCCCATTTGTTGATTGTTGACCTTATTTTTCAAGCATAAGTGTCCTTGTCAAAAGTCCTTTGTATGCTTTTATCTTGAAATGTTTTTCCTGCCTCTTTCTCTAGCAATTTCATAGCAACAAGTGTTACATTACATTACAGTCAATACATTGGGAGTTAATTTTTGTGCAGTGTGAGAGACTGGGATCTAGTTTCAGTCTTGTGTGTGTGGATGCCCACTTTTCCCAGTATCCTTTGCTGAAGAGGCAGTCTGTTCTCTAACAACTGTGTTTGGTATCACAGTAAAAGGAACCAGACAGCTGTAATTGGGTGGGTTTATGACTACATCTTCTACACTACTGATCTACACGTCTATTTTTGTGCCAGTACCATACTGTACTTGCAATTATGGCTCTGTAATATAACCTGAAGTTACATCATATACAGTGATACTTCCAGTCTATCCTGATTGCCCCTCTACCCCAGACTGATTTTTCTATATGATGATTTTTAACTTCCAAATGAATTTTAAGATTTCTTTTTTTTTTTATAATGAATGGCACTGAAATTTTGATGAGGATTATATTGAATCTGTAGACTGGCTTCTGGTAAAATGACTATCTGGTCATTTTCACAGTAGGGAATCTTCTAATCCATGAAGAGGTTGTTCCTTCTAGTGCCTTCCTCCATTTCTTTCTTCATTACAAAGATCTTTCATTTCCTTGGTTGGAAGGTGTGGTAGTTTGACTGTAACTAGCCCCCATAAGCTCAGAGGGAATGGCAGTATTAGGAGACTTTGTTGGAGTAGGTATGGCCTTATTGGAGGAAGTGTGCCACTGTGAGGGTGGGCTTTGAGGTCTCCTATGCTCAAGCTTAGCCCAGTGACACAGACTATTTCCTGTTGCCTGCAAGAACAGGAAGATGTAGGACTCTCAGCTCCTTCTCCAGCACATCTGCCTTCATGTCACCACATTGCTCCATGATGATAATGGACTAAACCTCTAAAAATGTAAGACACTCCAATTAAATGTTTTCCTTTATAAGAGCTTCAGTGGTCATGGTGTTGCTTCACAGCAATAGAATCTCTAATTAAGACAGAAGGTATGTTTTTCATGGCACTTATGAGATTTTATTCCTGATTTCTCTCTTGGCATATTTGTTATTGGTATACAGTGTATCCATTGTTTTTGTGTGCTGACTTTTGCATCTTGCCACTTTGCTGAGAGTGTTTATCATTCCAGGGTTTTTCTGGTGGAATCTTTAGAATCTCTTTCACATAAAGGCATAACCTATAAATAAGGATACATTAATGTCTTTTATTATTTGTTTTCTTTTATTTCCTAACCATGTCTTACTGATGAGACTAAGCCTTCTAGTACAATATTGAACATGAATGGAAAAAATATGACACTCATATCTTGTTCTTAGTTTGATTGAAAATATTTTTGATTTTTCAACTCATTTAGTATACTGTTAGCTACAAGTTTGTCACATATAACCTTTATTATGTTGAGATATGCTCCTTCTATTCCTACTTTCTTCAGATGTTAGTCTATTGGATTTTGTCAAAAGCCTTTTTTTACACCTACTGAGACAATCTTGTGATTTTTGTTCTTGAGTCCATTTATGTGACATTTTTCATTTATTGCATGTCTATTTATGCATGTTGAACCATTCCTGTATTGCTGGAACAAAGCCAACCTGATCATGGTGAAGGATCTTTTTGATGTGTTCTTGAATTTGGGTTGCAAGTTTGTGGCTTGTTATGGGTTATTTTGATTGCACTTCGACACTCTCGAGACTACCAATAAAGTTTACCTTGAGCCAGAGGGCAATGTCAGCTGCTAACTGACCAGAATTAGTCATAGCCGTTTTGGTAGACCTAGGACATACAGAGAAACACACAGAAAGCAGAAGGGAGGGGCTTAGAAAGATTCATGGCCCTTTGGATCGATGAGGGTGAGAAAGAGAGAGGAGGTCACTGGTTGTTTCTCCGCCACCTCGATGACTGATCAGGTTTTTACAATATGAGTAATTACTTCAGTGATCTTTTATTATTGAGAAAATAATCTCCTGATTGAGAACATAGCAAACAGCTTAACGAAATTAGGAAGCTGATGCAAGACATGAAAAAGGATTTTAAAAAGATACAGAAATACTGAAAAAATAATATGAAATGTTGGAAATGAAAAGTAAAATAATTCACATAAGAAACTCTGTGCAAAATCTCACCAACAGAATGGATCATGTAGATCAAGATCTGAGCTTAAAGACAAGGTTCTGGAACTGGAATAATCAAACAACAAAGATAAAATTGGAAGATGATATCAGTGACTTATGTGACACCCTGAAAAGACCAAACCTGTGGGTAGTAAGTATAGAAGAGGAATCTAGTTCTAAAGGCACAGAAAACATTAAAGAAAAAACATAACAATTTTTCTGAAGTTAGGAAGAGAAGCTTATATAGACTGTACCAGTTGGTAGACAAGTTTGTGGGACATTTTCTTGATTAATGAAAGGTGTTGAAGGGCCCAGCCCACTATGGGTGGAGCAACTCCTGGACAGGGAGTCCTGGGTTGTATAAAAAAGCAAGATGAGTGAGCTACAGAGAGCAAGGCGGTAAGCAACACTCCTCCATGGTCCCTGCCTCAGCTCCTGCCTCCAGGATCCCTCTTCAGTCCCAACTCTGACTATATCCTCCCTTTCCTCCCAAGCTGCTTTTGGTCAGAGTTTTATCACAGCAGTAGAAAGCAAAGTAGGACAGATAAAACATGTTCCAAATAAATGAACCTGGGACGCAAATGCCAGTGCTCTAATAGCTGACAAAACAGGCTTGAAATCAAAACTAGTGATAAAAGATAGACAGTCACTTCATGCTGTTTAAGAGAACAACATCAAGAGAACATTATGAATCTTAACAATATGCATTGATTTCATAAAATAAATACTACATATCATGTGCACTCTTGGGCTGGGGCTGTATGGCACACCTAACAACCACAAGAGTAAATAAAAGAGAAACAGAACAAAACAATGAAAGATCATTAAAAGATAAGCACTTGGCTTCGTGTGGTCACACATACCTTTAATTACAGTACTTGGAAGGCAGAGGCAGGAGGCTGTCTATAAGTCTGAGGTCAGCTACCAAAAGAAGTGATTCTACTATATTAAGGGGGAAAATGATAAGTTTATTTCCACATAAGAACAGATGATATTCCAAATAATCATATAATTTCAAGAAAGATTTTTCCTAAGATATTTTATAAAAAGTAACCCTTAATGCCTTAAATTCTGGAAACACCACCTTGTACATTAGTATTACCTTAAACTGAGACATTCTAAAAGCACACATACCTTCCATGGGTCTCATTTACATAGCTGAAAAATCTTTCTTGATATCATTCATGATAAATGACGCTATTGGTAGCTTTACTCTGTAGAATCTTGTTTGGTGATTTTTACACGTTTACAGATAAGGAACATATATACATACACAAACCATACACACACACACACACACACACACACACACACACACACACACACACACTCACTTTTCTAATGGCTTGTACTGGAGGTCAGGGAGTTACATTTTGTCAAACCCAGATTGAACAGAGTTGAATTTAGGTTAATACAGAGAAAGGCGTGCTCTGGATGTGTTGTTCTTTGTATTTCCTGAAGCATCAGGTGAATGGTAAAAACTTCAAAGAGCTTCTTATTACTCCTGTAAAAAATAGTTTTATTATTTAGTTATTTATAAACTTGAGAGAACATATGCAAATGTGAGAATGGCACTTGTTTTTAAAAACAATGGAGAAAATGGCTAATTACAGGATTTAAATGATGAGAAAAGTAGGTTTTATGATCTAAGCCTGAAGTAGAAAAACATTACAGGCAAAGAGAATATAGTTTATATCCTGAAAACTGAACCCTATTCACTAATAGAGAGGAACTACCAGGAATTAGGAACCTCCCCTTCCCACAGTTAGACAGACCCGTTTCCCTAAGAATCTAAAATGGCAACATACTACTTTTTAACCACTCTCTCTCTAACAGACATCCGGGCTCTGTGTGGTGGCGCACACCTTTAATCCCCGCACTCCAAGGCAGAGGCAGGCAGATATGAGTTCCAGGACAGCCTGGTCTACACATCAAGTTCCAGGATAACCAAGGCTACAAAGAGAAAGCCTATCTCACAAAATAAAACAATAGAAGAAAAGAGGAGGAGAAGGCATTCAGTAATTTCATTTCAATCACAACCCTATCTTACATGAAAAATAGGAGCCCACCTATTTTATTTTCTTATCTGGGAATATTTGTCTCAAGAGAAATTACCCGATAACCCAGTATTAAAGGAGATAGAAGACAAGGTGGCTTCCTGGAGCTCATTGGCCATGCAGCCTAGCCAATCAGTGAGTTCCAGGTTCAGTGAGAGACCCTGTCTCAAGAAAAAGAAGAGGAAGATACCTAACATTAACCCCAGACTTCCATATATAGATACACACAGACACACACACACACACACACACACACACACACACACACACACACACACACACACACACACACAAATGTTCTTTTGCCTGTTTTGTCCAAGGCATACTTTAGTGGATTAATAAGGAATTACAAAAAAATACTTTTATCACTGTTTTTTTTTCCCCCACAGGTCATATATAAAATATCAGTGTGCAATGATTTGCTCTGATATTATCAAGTGACCACTCTCCTGACAGGCAAATAAAACCTTGCTCTTGGATTTCCATGATATCTCTAGGATTTAAAGTTTTCTTAGATGAACTGAAACAATGGAGAAATAACTATACTTTTAAAGACAGTGTATTATTAAACCTATGTGTATGTGTTTTTAAAGTGTGTGTGTGTGTATATATGTGTGTGTGTGTGTGTGTGTGTGTGTGTGTGTGTGTGTGTGTGTGTGTGTGTCTGTGTCTGTGTCTGTTGTATGGTATGGACATGTGGGCATGTTCAGGTGGGTGGAGAATATCTGGCACCCTATCTTTCATTGTCTGATTCATTCCTTTGAAAAAGGGTCTCTTGCTGACCCTGGAGTTATGCTGGTGGCTACCAAGCCACATTGATCCTCCTGCCTCCATCCCATGCAGCCACACTTAGCATCTTATATGAGTACTGGGGATCTGAACTCAAGTCCTCATGCTTATGCAGTAACTACTCTTACCTGCTGAGTACCTGCCCAATATATTGTCTCTGATAATCATTAATACTCACGATTCTTAAACTTCTACATCTATAGACTGGAAATAGTGAGTTATAACAAAGTAATAATCAAGTTGAACTGGTTTGAGATTGAGATTGAAAAAGCAGCCCTAATAGTGATCACAATATAATCATCAGTTAAAAAAAAGTTACAAAAGACATTCTTACTTGATTTTTGAAAGCTTCTGTAGGATAATACTGAGCTTTTCTAGGATGTGAAGATCAAGCTTAGGGGTTCGGAGCAGCACAGAACAAGTACGGAAAAATAAAGAGTTGCTACAGGCTTCCAGGAAAGGCTGCAAGGACTCTGCAAAACAAGTCATCAGGGTTTGCTGTTAAGAAGTACAAAAGAAAATTAAAAAAGCAAAACCAGAACTGTATGAGTCGTGAATCAATACCAACTTGGACTCTCATTCTTTCATCCTTAAACTGGAGGACAAAACCATCATTTGAAAAGTGAAAACATCCACTGGCTCTTGCTGGGTGTCACAAGGAACAGGTTATTATCTAACACAAAGCATGTTTGAAAGGAGGGGGAAAGTGTTTCTTCAATAAGCTTCTAACTGGAAGCCCAGTCTAGTTAACTGTAAATAAGAAGTTCCACTGAAGTAGTCAATTATTTTTCCCTAAAACCCCAAGAACAATTCTGCGTATTAGGTGGGAAAGAACACTTTGAGCATAAAAGGTAAAGAATGACAGACTCATAATAGACTGAAAACCTGCGGATAAAAATTTTGAGGGATCATCATGAAGAAGCAGGCAGAAAGGCTGTAAGACCCAGAGGATCAGGGAGTCTGCTGAGAGACTGTGTCTCCTAGGATGTCAGAAACTCCAGTCTCACCAGCACGGCTGCCTCGACATGAGCTAAGCAGGGGCAACGACAGACACACTGATGTGGAAGGGGCAACTACAGGCACTAAGAATGCTGAGAGTGGGAGACATGGCCTTCTCCAGTTAGCCAGTACCAAATGCTCAGCCCTGAAAACATACATACACATGTAACATTATACAGACTGAGCAGCTGTATTCATAAAGTTAGGTTTGTGTGTTTATTTATATACACATGAATACAGCAACAATTAATGAAAAACAGGCATTGAGTTTGAAAGAGAACAAAGAAGGGTGCATGGGAGGGTTTGGAAGGGGAAAAGGGAAGGGGCACAATGTAATTATAATATCAAAAAATAAAGTAAATATTTTCTAATTTAAGTATTTACATAACATGATTTTATTTAAAACTTGGAAGTGAAATTAAAATAATCAAAAGAGAAATTACAAACAGAAGAGAGGACAGTAGAGATGAATTTGCATATATTTGCCTTAAGATTGATGCAATTGCTGAGCGTTGGTGGCACACGCCTTTAATCCCAGCAT